CAGGTCTTTCATGTCAAAAAAAAAAATGTACCGCTGCCAGCTACAGTAACATGGCAATCTTGTTTTTTCTGCACGCTCGTTTCACCTGCTTGGGAGCGGTGAGCTCCGAAGTGCCCAGGCCCTTGCGCAGACGCAAGGAGCGATGGAGGGGCCCCTGAGTTTCAAGGGCGAGCCCAGTGTGGGGTGCGGGACCCAGGCACGAAGTCCGGATCGGATCCTCGATCTCTGTCCAATCAAGGTTCCTGATCTCAAAGGAGGATTCTGAGCGCGTGAGGGAGGTGGAGCCTTTGCAGGCCTGTTGAGGCTGTCAAGTTGCAACATATCTCGCAGATTCAACAGCTGACAGGCGTTGCAGTCAAGGGTGGCGTTGGAGGCTGGCAGTCTACAGTCGGAGCGAGATAGTTTAAGATTCCCAACTCAACCCTTGACTTGAGGAGCGAAAAACCTTGTCAGCCTACGTCAGCCTTGTTGGCATCATGAATTTTTCGGACCAGTCTGCGAAAAACCCAATGCATGCCCATGCAACAAATCGGTGAAGACAAACGGCAAGCAAATCCTTGCGGCGGCAGATCGCTTTCTGCGGCGACGACTTTCGTGGCTCCCTGGGCAGCGATGCCTCTGTGGAGGCGCAGTCAGCGATGTGCTGCAACTCCGCTTTGCTGAACCGCCCAATCCAGTGTCGCGAGGCTGCGGTCCGCGCAGCGCTGCTGCAGGCTGCAACGACTTTCCCTATCTTTATTCAGGACTTCAGGTTGGACTTGCACGGGGAGAGCTCAAGGCTCAAGGCTTCGTGAAAGGAATAGGCGGCACTTTGCCGTTGGAGGGTCCTTCTGATTGGAAGGTCGGGGTCGTACCACCCTTGCAGAAGCCACCTTTTCAGCGCGAGGGCCCCAGCTGCGCTGACACCATCTTATCTGTTCTTTCTTGCAAGTGCTGGCCCACTGCTACCGGAGTCATCGAGCTGCAGAAATGCAATGGCAGAACGTAGCGGCATGTCTTGACACCTTCACATCACCTGACCTCAAAAAGAATTAAAGCTGAAGAGGTCGTCGCTCGACATGCACATGTGTGCTGGGCGGTGCTAGGCAGCTAGGCAGGCTTGCAAGCACGCAGTCATCGAAGCGTATCTGTTTCAGACAAGAAAGCATCGAAGCCAGAAGTCTCAGTCCTTCTCTTTGCGCTTCTGGCCGAGGCTTAAGCCGCACGGATGCTGGCGTCCATGCGCGTAGCTTCCGGCTTGTGGTGCCGCTCCTGAGAGTGCAGGCGCAGTCAGATCTGTCGGAGACGTTTTTTGAGGGAAGAGGGGGTGGCACATCATGGCAGCCTTTGCTCGGCTCTTTGCGATCTGCACCTTTGCAAGGCCTCGGACCTCCAAGCCGATGGCCGCTGTCCGGGGCTCCAGGCAGCGCTGAACCGCCCGGGCCCAGCCTCTCTCTCTGACTCTCTGACTCGACTCGGCTCACAGTCACATCCCCTTTGTGTCCCTATCCTGTCCTAGCTGTCCTAGGCCGGCTTCCCAAGAGTCTGCGGATCCTCGAGGCCGGGAAGCCCTGCCACTCCGTGGGTTTTTGGGGGGACTTTTGCTGAGGGCGGGGGGTTTGCCTCGCAAGAAGCTTTGGGCACTTGATCATGCTGTTCACGTTTCGGTTTCACCCTCAACTGCAAGAAGCCCCAGTGGCCGTGCATAAGATTCGCCACTCAGCGGCGGCCTTCGATCACATGAGGTTGCGAGAGTTCCGTACATGGCTGACATCCCATCGGCGTGCGTCGCCCGGGAGTACCGCCTGGATCTCGGGTGCTCAAGCCATGTGCTTGTTATATCTTTGGATATCACGCGCCATGATGCACCATGATGTGCCATGCGTCTGCTCGAGGCTACTACCTTCCGCGGCCTGCATCTCAGAGAGCCGCCGGGCGACCGTGGCACCTCTGTCAACCCTTCCTTTTCCGACCCGCTCCTCAAACCTGAATTGGCCGGAATACACGGGCTTCAAGCGCTGGGGTTCGGAGTTCAAAGGGTTTAGGGCTTAGGGTTTAGGGCTCTGGAGAACTGGAGAGGTTCCTTCCGTTGCCGTTCTTGGGCTGTTCTAAGTATTGCCGCTGTCGTGATGGTGGTAAAGGTAGTCGCTCTTAGTGCCATGTTTCTGGGTGGTAAGGCTTCGGATGTCTAGCGGCACCATTTTGCCTCAAGGTCGCTCATGGGTCCTGGAGCAGGAGATGTGGATCCTGCAGTGTGGTCCTAAGTCTACAACTTTCAGCACCTCGCGTTTTTGATGATCCTTGTGCCATGCTTGCGGCGTGTTGTGATGTGCAAAAATTCCAGATGGGCTCGGACAGCACAAGTGATTTGCGCGGCACATTCAGCACTACGGAGATTTCTACCGAGCATATATCACCGAGTTTGTAGATCACATCACGTTCACATCCAACACGGCGTGGGCGAACGTGTGCGAAATATTCCAGGAGCAAGCGTTGAAAAACGTTCTCACCCAGCATCGGTGGTCCCCACTTCCGAAGAGGAAGGTGTTAGGATTTCATCGCTGACGCGTTGCATCACACCATGCCCAGGTCGAGCGTCGCCTGGCCTCGGCGCTGCAGTGCTGTCAGGGCAGGCCTCGATCTGCATCTGCGCTTCAGCATCTGAGGGATCGGCTTTGGGGCTCCGTCGACCGCCCGAGTCGAAAGCACTCTGCGAGGATGGCGCGAAGGAACAGAGCATGGACGGAGCAGATGTGCCTTTCACATGCAGGTGGCCCTTCCTGAACTTTACAAAGCGGCGGGCTCAGACGACATTATCACTGCTGCTTCCGGTCGCTGGTCACCCGGACTGGCGAATCGTTTTGACGCCTTCATTCATGCTCTTTTTAGAAGGGGATGTGCCTTCCTTGAGTTTCGTAAAGGGATAGCGAGGCCAGAGCTCTACCGCGCCCTCGAGGACCCGAGGGGCTCGATGGGGCTGGGTGGGTGGGGGAGTCGGGCGTCGGGGAGTGCATGTTGCGATCGACGGATTCCGTTTGAAGGTTGGTCATCGGTCGCCTTCCGTCGTCACCGCATGCTTTTGCGCTACTTGTTTAATGTCTCTGACTTCTGAACAGTCTGGAGTCGCAGTCCCGTGGCATGCCGTGCTGTGGCAGGAAAACTTGCGCAGCACGCCCGAGACAGAGCGCACTCTCCTCAGGGTCGAGCTTCAACAGGGTAGTTCAGCGATTTGAGGAGCAGCTCCTGCAAATGCGGCTAATCGCACCGATGCGCCGAACAACAGAGGTTGGCTTCGGGAGCTGTACGGCCACCGGCGGCGACGCCGGGAGCGAGGCGAGCCCACCCGAATCTTATGCAATCAGTCTGGTCGTTAGACACATTCATGAGCCGGCACGAGGTTTCACCATATGAAGGCGAAGGTAGCAGAAAGTTTCTTTCTCCCCTCGAAGTCTACATATGCTAGGGCCCTTGCAATGCCTTTATAAAGAGTCTGTTCCTACGAAGCGGATTGGTGCAGTATAGTGAGTTCGATGATTTTTCCAGACATGTCGTGTTTTATGTGTGTAGGCAGCTAGTCACTTGTTTCCTTTTCGACAGTAAGTGAACTTGTATGGTTTCGTGGGAGAGATTTCGAAGTTGTTGGTTGATGCATTTGCGGCCATGACAGATCAAGTCAGCAGACTAGCAGAGTAGCAGTTTGTCCAATTCATCTGTGCTCATGGTGATGCTCGCGAGAGCTTTGTGGTTCCTGGCCGTGTTTATTGCCGGTGGAGCCTCTCATTTGCAGCCATTCTTAGAGTGTCCCGTAGCAGGTTACTTATGCATGCCTGGCATGAACATGAATGCAAGGTCCGCGTTGACAGCCACGATATGAACAACGCCACGGTTGAAATCTGTCCTACTGGATCCATGGTAAAGTCCAAGTCGTGGATCGAAAATGGTTGGTACTTTATTGATGGCCTCTGGGCTGCATTCGTCGCTTCAACGACAGTCGCGAAAGCTTGCATGCCACCGCATTTCACGAACCAAGGTTATTATTACCGCTACAAGAATTGCGAAAGTTGCACGAAAGCACCGTCGGACTGGAAACCATGTGGCACACAGGGAAGACAGGCACCTCGGGGATCAGCTTCGCAGCGCAGTGGCGTGCATGGTGTGCTGAGGTTGATGTGGAGAGCCAGAGTAGGCCCCGCTTGAGCCCAAACTCGCGTTTGTGGTCCGAGGTGGGGGGCAAATACGGCTACGGAGATGGAGGTTGGACTTGTAAAAAGTCGTCGGTGATCTGTCCAAAGGAAAGAGTAAAGTTTGGGACTTTACGCCGACGAAGTTTGATAATTTAGACATGCTTGGGGCATGTTGGAAAGCGGCGCTTTATTGGGCCTTTCTTGGGCAGTTTGATCAAAGCATGGGACGTGAGTAGCATGGAGACAAGCACCTATTTTCGAGCGTGCGACTGCTGGTGCCAACAGTTGCGATATCACACTGCATCACATATGTTCTTGGCGGCCTAAGTAACTTAAACGACTATGACCATTGCTCATGTCACGCTCTTTCGAAGTCGTCATGAAGCCGCGCAGCTTGCAGTCAATCATTGTTGTACTTCTGGTATGGAGCACAAACCAGCCGATCTTTGGTGAAATAACTATGGAGGGGTCTTTTGCACGGTTGGGAGCAATAGACCTGAGTAGCAGGATGCACGGAGGCTAGGACATTAACTGTGCCTACCGCAGTGGGAACATGTCTATAGGTCCCAGTTTATCTGATACTTCGCTATGGATTTCCGTGAAGCTGGAGTTTCAGAATCGCATGACCGCTTTAGGACGGTGTGGGACACGAGGCACGTAAATCAAAGCGTAGGCCCTGTGTTGGCAAGGGTACTGACCTGCAGTTGGTCTGCATATATCCCTTCGCAGGCAACTGCAAGAACAAGAACGGTTGCCGTTGCACCGAGAGTCGTCAGAGCGGCAATGCCAACAGCGGTTTCACAATGGTTGCCTCGTGTCAGAGCGCCACACAAAAGGCTTGGCAGAAATGCTGCGATGGCACTTACAAGAAGTGCGTAGGAGAGACTGACGTACTGCAGTGTTCCTAACATGTTTCAGTTTCATCCGCCTACATATGCCGCGGGGAGATGGACATAAAATGAAGACAGCTGCCAGGGAGCGAGCATGGGTGTTGTGAACAACCGGTGTCGTGTCTGATCATTCTACTCTACTCACACTGCTTCGGTTAAGCTGAGGTAGTAAAGTGATTTACTTTGCTCAGCCTTCTTGGGCGGAATGCATTGGATGAGCTTGTGGCAATCGTGAGACTAGCCAGCAAGCAGACGTCCGCTAGCATCTTGACCGATCGCAGAAACCGTCGACTACGGATGTCTGTCAGCCTTGTTTGTTGTGGTGAAATGAATAGCTCCTGAATTCTGTATCATTCGCCATTCACACATGAGTGTGAAGTAATCAAGCCGCATTCTTTTACAGACATGTCTCTATAAAATCTAGGCGATTACGGACGTACCGTGTGCCTCCAACAATGAGCTACGAAAGCAGGTATTAACCTTCCGCTGAAATGATTGAATACGGCGACAGAATTATCAAAGCTCTAAAATCACCAATAGTATTCATGTATTTATTTCTCTATGTTGCATCCTAACGACAATTACATGACCAACGTGCAAAGCATCACGAACGTGTCTCTTAAGATACTTGGTGCAATTGCCAGAACGTAGTTGATGACGCAGGGCTAAGCGTGTTCCAGCCGCTGATATGATCATGTCTCGATCATGCCAACCTGACGCAGACCAATGTGGAGGTATCTTATGATTTGCTGTGCTCTGCTTTGCTGATCGGTCTTTCGGAACTAAACTCCAATTCTGAAGGCCCCGTGCCATACAAGTGTAAACAATCCGAGCTGCCACACCGGTCTCGCCATGTCCGAGATCCATCGTCGTCGACGATGCTGTTGTAGTTAGGCCAGCGCACCCGCTGTCCACCCTGGCTCCAGGCTATCCCCCAGACAACCGTGTCGCAGACTTGCCGGCGCTGCTGCCGGTTCCGGAGGTTAGGGGGAGGGTTGTGCTCGGGGCTTGGAGCTCGACAGTTTCTGTGGTGCAATTCGTCAAATGTACTCAGTGGCAATTCGCTGCCCTTCCGCATGCTTAATCATGTCGTACTGGGTTTTGAGCAAATGAATATGCAAGTCGATGTATTGCGTGCATGCGTGGACCGAAATGCAAGATTCGCATGATCTCGGGGAACTTTTGGGTTGCATGCAGACGGATTCCCAGTGTCCTCATTGCGCGCCATTCCGGACGGATGTTGTGCAGGAGGGCCGGGACTTGACGGTCCGGGAAGTACGTGTGCCCGACGAGTGCAGTTCTTGAGGTCATGGGGAAGCACTCTAGTGCTCGTGCAGCCAAGTAGGAAGCTTGCCTGGCTTGATGCCTACAGTGGCACCTTGCACTGCTTCTCCTTGCCGTTATGAACCACGTGACTGCCAGGCGTGTGCGAACTTCTGCCAGAGCCGGTGACTGCCACCGACTCTACGCAGGAGTTGCTGTGCGTGCGCCTAGTCCGACCCCGAGTGGAGCCCAGGGCCAATGCCCAGCTGTGACAGCTGAATCTTCGCGCAAGGGAAGATGATGCCTGCCTGCACTTTCTTGATGCATCGTTTCTCTGGCCCTGCACGTCCGCGAAAAGGTGGGCGAGGGATTCCTCAACAGTATGGTGGTTGGCTGAGACCTGTCTCACATGGCATGACTTGCAGTGCAGAGCATGCGATTTTGTGCAGAAGGCCTTGTGCCACATACTAGCCGCAGCCCTCGGTGCGATGCTCTAAACCTCATGCATTTGAGCAAGGTCAGACTCATCGTAGGCTCTTGCTGCGCTGTGGCACGGGGGGTGCTACCGGTCTCAGAGCCGGAGGCTTGGCTGCTGCTGCGGCAACAACAGCAACAGCCGCTGCTGCTACTGCTACTGGTACCTGCTACTACTGCTCCTCCAACGACGACGACTACAGCAAGTACTTTTTGTACGACTACTTCTACTACTGCTTGTCCTCCTCATCCTTCTCCTACTACTACTACTACTACTACTACTACTGCGACTTCTGCTACTGCTACTACTTCTACTACTACTACTACTACTACTACTACTCCTCCTACTACTACTACTACTACTACTACTACTACTACTACTAGTGCTACTACTACTACTACCACCACCACTACTACTACTACCACTACTACCACTACTATTACCACTACTGCTACTACTACTACTACTACCACTACTACCACTACTACTACCACTATTATTATTACTACTACTACTACTACTACTACCACCGCTACTACTACCACTACTATTACTACCACTACTACTATTACTACCACTACTACTACTACTACTACTACTACTACTACTACTACTGCTACTGCTACTGCTACTGCTACTGCTACTGCTACTACTATTACTACTGCTGCTACAGCTACTGCTACTACCACTACCACTACTACTACTGCTACTTATACTGCTACTACTACTACTACTACTACTACTACTACTGCTACTGCTATTACTACTACTACTACTACTACTACTGCTGCTACTACTACTACTACTACTACTACATGTACTAGTACTAGCACTAGGACAGTACTAGTACTAGTACTAGTGCTAGTGCTAGTGCTAGTACTAGTGCTACTACTGCCACCACCAGCTGCTACTATAGCTGCGACTACTACGACTACAGCAACTACCACCACCGTCACCGGCAACGACGACAACAACAACAACAACAACAGCAACAGGCCTCAAACCCGAAACTCAACAGCAAACTGAGCCCTAAAGCGGACGACCCCGTCGCACAGCAATGACTTGAAACCCAACACCTTTCAACCACAAAGCCTATGGCTACCATAGTTCACCAACCCTCGGTTCTAGCACTTCAACTCTCCCTGTATGACTGGCATCTCCCCGCGGCAGTGGAAAGAGAGTAGTAGCGGAAGCTGCAGCAGCAACAGCAGCAATGGCAATAGCAGAAGCAGAAGCAGAAGCAGCAGCAGCGGCAGCAGCAGCAGCAGCAGCAGCAGCAGCAGCAGCAGCAGCAGCAGCAGCAGCAGCAGCAGCAGCAGCAGCAACAGCAGCAGTAATCTGCACATAGTCGTAGTCGTAGTCGTCGTCGTAACCGCATTCGTGGTATGTGTAGTGTGCTGACAAGTTGCAGAGCGATTCTAGATCCGGTGTTGCGTTCTGCCACGATTCTGTTGTGAATTGTCTCCCCGCTCATGCTATTGAGACGAACCATGGTTTTCTTACCTTGAAGCAAAGAGATCATAGCATCGATGCTTCCCGGTGTATCCTGATTGCAAAGGCACTTGACTGGGGGCCCGTCTGGCTAAGAAGCGCGCTCCAAATTTAGGAGCTTCCTGAAAACTTGCGAAATTGCGAACTGATGTGTTTTCTTCTCCACGTCCTTTGCTTCCCAAGGCTGAAGGCGGCCTTGGCGGCCGAGCAGGTGGCCGACTTAGCTTTCGATTCCCAATGTTGCGATGGTGCCAAAGAGATCCTCGCTGAGGGTTGTGATGCTTGGCACCACCGGCAAGAATAAGAGAAAATCACAAAAAGAGGCGACACTCCGCTGGGAGCCGAACGGGCCGTGTCAGTGAGGGCCATGGCGCTACGGCCACAAAGATGATCGATTCAGCAGTTTCACGGGTTGAAGCTCTTGCACTGGAAGAAGGTACAGAACGGACTCGGCACAAGCTCGCAGCCAGGTCGTTGACCTCTCTGAGTTCGTGGCGCCGGCTGCCGGCACGGCGCTGAGTGCTGAGGGATCCACGGCGGCGTGCTGTCGGCCATCCAGTGAGGGCTGGTGCTGTACCAGCAGCATTTCGACGAGGAGAAGATGCCGCCAGCTCAGTCTCGGCCCCGAGCCAGTGCTCTCTCTCCAAAGCCCTCTTGCAGACCTTGGCTGCCGCTGGACCGCAGCGCCGAGGAGGGCGAGGCTGTGGCACCGCGCAGACTGCCGTTGTCTTGTCTGTCGAATTGCAGCGGCTGCTGTCTTTTCTGCCGGCTTCGTTTTCACGCGCAGCGATGATCCCCTTGCAAAGAGCCGGAGCAAAGTTGCGGTGCCTGACCAGGCCTTCTTCCGAGATGCGATTCTCTCGCGGGTAGAAAGGGTGCTGCACTCGGTAGGTAGTCGTGGTGCAAGATTAGGGACTTACTGTAACTGTCGGCAAAAGAGAGGCCGGAGCAAGTGTTTTCTTCGCGCATCTCGACTTGCGATCCCTTTTCAGTCAGGGAAGGTGTCCATAGTACATCAAGCAATCTGGGGAAATTCCACGAAGGGCGCAGTGCCCAAAGTGCTGAGGCCTGGGGGAAGACTCGCAGCTTGGGGCCTTGGTACCAGCCCAGCCCTGAGGAGCTTCCGCAAATTCAGAGGCCTCGAAGCTCAGGCAGAGAGGCTCCTGAAGCCCCGGAAAGAAGGCCCTATTGGTAGCAGCTCGAACGCAGATCCAAAAAAAGGCATCTTCCGGACCTTTTCCATGCTTTGGCGCAACCGTTGCTCTCAGGCCTGGGCCCGCGGACAAGTCCTCAGCTTCGAAGGGGCCTTTCTTTAGGTCTTGAAGTGCCTTTGGAATACATGCAATAGGACCCCCTAAGAAGGAGAGAACCGTGACGGGCAAGTATACAGTGTGACGAGGCTTTCTGGTGAGGCTGGTGTCTTCTCAGAAGTGTCCACGAGGTCTTCGAGGAGGATGACTTAGAGGTGGACGACTAGCGGTTGCTGTCAGGCCGGAATCGCAGAACTCCGTGAAGCTATGCAGCAACGATTTCAACCTTGAGCTGTGCAAGCTCCTTCTGCAATCCAGTACCGAATCAGGTTGACTGCGCAGTTCTTGTTTTTAGCGTGTCTCCGTTCGTTCGGCTCCTTTCGGCTCCGAGGGAGCCAATAGTCAATAGCTATGATCAGAGCAGCCAGAGATGTAGATGCGTAGCTACGCAGACACATCAGTAGACACATCTGCAGCTGCTTCACTCTTAGCTTCCAGGCTTTTTGGAAGTCTTGTAGGGAGCTGTAACACTGAGAAAGGTAGATAGCTACAGTCCATTGGTTCGGCATGGTTGGACACACAGTTTCGCCGGCAAGCCCCTCTGACAGCCTTGGTGGCGTGGCTGCATATAGCCGAATCTAGCCCTCCAGGATTTCGTTGCGGCAGACGCAGGAGGGTGCAGCCGGCAATGAATCAATGAAGAGTAGACGGCATCCCTTCACAGCCGGTTCTCGTTCATGCCCTGCAAGTCCGAGGCTGTGGCGGTCGGCACCCCGGTGAACGGAGGGGCCCAGGGTTTGGGTTTCTGCATTCTGTGGCTGCAAAGCCGAGCATAGAGAGGGTGCCGAGGTGCCGAGCACATCTGCTTTGAACGAGATGTCGAGCATGTGAGGCAGGGTTATGCAAGGGCTTCTGCTGGTCTTGAGATCATGTGAAGTGCTGCGCTCTGCCTTGGAATACAAGATGCCCATAGAATATGTGATGGAACCATCGGCTTGTGTTGGCAACCTCTGCTATCTCGGCTGCAGGCCAGGAAACTGGATTCACACAGGCCAGGGCCGCGGAGCCTACGAGAAAATAGAGGACCCGCCCGCCACCTTTGGGTTTGGCTCAGAATCTAACCTACCCCCCCCGGATTTGTTGCTTGTCCTTGGCACAGTTTGGCACAAGTCACCATGCGGCATATCGAAGCCTTTCGTTCACAGAAACATGCGAACCTTGGGGCCGGACCACCTGAATTGGTTGGGTTCCTCGTCTGTCATGCGTAGCCACATGCAGAGTTGTTTTGCCTGGCGCGCTGTGCAAGTTGTCATGATTCCGCTTGTCCATGGGGCTCTAAGATCTATTACCAGCAAGGGAGCCCTATGCAACAGCCTCGTTTTAGGCAGCACAGGTGTTTCTCCCAATTGGCACATGCCGGAAGATCTGTTCGTGCGGAAGATGCGATGAGTTCATGCGAAAGTAGCCCCGTGCTGCGCGAGGACATGCAGTTCGTCGGCCAGGCCAGGGTTCCGCATGGGCTCCGGCTGGTCGGAGGGCGAGCACAGTTTTTCATTTGAGTCGCATCGGTGATGTTTTGTGGCATTCTTCATACACCCTGTCAGCTGTTCTTGAGCCGTTCATGTGCCGAGCGGCTGTTTTGAATGCAGGGACGAGGCAGCTGGGACCGTGAACGGCTTCCCGTTTACGGCTGGCGCTGCAACATCTGCTGCTACTTGCACGAAATTCGTCGGAGTAATTGGTTTCAACTAAAGTGCTACAATGTTGCTACACTGCCACGCTTCTACACCAATACGCTATTACACTACTTCTGCTACTGGTGCTTCTACTCTTACCACGACACTACCACTACCACTACCACTACCACTACCACTACCAGTACCACCACCACCACCAGCACCACCACCACGACCACGACCACGACCACGACCACGACCACGACCACGACCACGACCACGACCACGACTACG